AAGTTTAAAACCAGGCTGGGCTACAAAGTGAGCTCAAGGCCAGCCTGACCTGCACAGCAAGACCCTGTCTCAAAAAGACAAAACAACAACCAAAAAAACCCATATTCATGCACAGAGCGGTCAACATGGTCTTTGATATAGAAGGAGGGTTGGGCTTGTCTTTTCCTGGAAGCCAATTCACTCAATAAATAAGGTAATGTACCTCAAGCTCTTTGTCTGCAAAATGGGGGTGACTGAGTCTGTGCTGCCTTCCTCAGAGAGGTACACAGAGACCCATAGAGCTAACGGATATGAAAATTGCTTTGGAGAGAACAAAATGCCATATTTACAAACACAGGATGTATTTATTGATTTATTTATGCTCCTTTGTGTTCCAAAAAAAGGATTTGAGGGAGCTTACCAAAAATGCACACAATACAGCGGGATAAAAATAGATAAAGTGATAGAGCGCAGGGAAAATAAGGGTAGAAAAATAAAATAAAGACAGGGCAAATGCTAGTGTGTGGAAACCTGTGCTCAAAATCCCTGAGCAAGTTCAGATCTAAGCTTCCTTGGAACAAAAGAAAGCAAGAAACATGATCAGTTACAAAAGGTATAGCAGTCATAAGATAAAAGCCTCCCAACCGAGTATGCTGAAACATACCTGTACTCCCTGAACTCAGGAGGCTGAGGCAGGAGAATCACTGAGTTCAAGGCCAGCCTGAACTACACTGCAAGACCCTGTCTCAAAAAAAAAAAAAAAAAAAGAAAAAAGAAAAAGATAAAAGCCTGTCTTGTGTGCCAGAAAAGGTCGCAGAGCTTATTGTGGCATCAGTGTCTGCGAGAAATTTCTCCCCATCGAGAGTATTCTGCAGGATCACGTGACCTGCATCTGCAACAATGCTTAGGTATCTGTCCTCCTGTTTTCACGGTATCACCTGACATCCACTTCAGAGCCCCACCCAGATTCATTGTCTATTCATGATTTGATTTAATTCAGCTGAAAACTGGACACCCACTAAATAGCAAGCAAAAGCAGTCTTTTTTTTTTTTGTCTCTTTTCTTTTTTTCCCTTTCCTTTCTTTCTTTATAAGGTAAGAATTTGGGTGCAAGGCATGGTACATAGGACTCTTCCCTGGTGAAATACAGGGACAAAGAAGTTCTAGCATCTTGGCTTAGCTGAGACATATAAAAACCACTAAGACATAAAACTGATCCAAGCGGGCCATAAAGACACGGCTGCCTTTGCCTCAGAACTTGGGCTATAATCTGCTGCCCTGGAACAAAAACTCAAACATAAATCAGCTCCCACTGTATTTTTAACCACCTACGAAATTCTTCATTTCCTGCCTGAAATGCCTCTGACAGTGAACGATGTTGCTCTCCCTTGCCCCTGCTCGAGAAAGGCTCCCTCGGGGCCGTGGCGGGGACCCAAGTGTGGACTTGCCCAGGTAGGCGAGCCCGGGATGGGATGAAGGACAAGAAAACTTGTCTTGGGACAAATAAGCCAGGTCTGGGGCCAGCCGATCCAGTGCCGAAGAGCAAAGGGCAACCCCTCTTGACACGGGAAGCGCCTTGGGCTCCCACCTGGGGTGCCTTCTCTCCCATTTCTGGCCCACCCCACGTCCTCTGCCCTCCATGACCCAGAGCCTCCATAAAGCCACCCAAACCCCACAGCATTCTCTTCTCCCAGGGCTTCTAATGCGTCAACAGTAAGTACCAGACAGCTGGCATTTCAGTCCATGATGCCCAGCGTTCACTATTTCATGCTGTCAGCCTGCCTCCCTAACGAGATTAACGCCACCCTGAGGGTAGTGATTAGCTCTTACTTTATGCATGTGCCTTTCAGCTTACAAGGGTGCCTTATGTCCGGGTACCTGACAGATAACAGGGTCACGAAAGCGCAGGATCCTGGGGTCTCTAAGCCATCTGGGTCTCCCTGCTGAGCCCATTTACCAGAAGGGACGGTGAAAGCCCAAGAACCTGGCCAGGAACAACCCCAAGTCTCCTGCCTTCCATTGCAGAACTCTGTTTCCCTGAAACGGTTCAGAGCCACAGCTCACTGGGGAACAAGGACAGACACACAGACAGCTGGCATGCAGTCACCCATCTGCCTGTGGGCAGACTTTCCAGCTCGGAGCCAGGCCATGCTGCCTTACAGCCCCCGTGGGAATCCAAGCTGGTGCCCTGCGTGTGCCAGGGTGGGTGGAAGGACTTGGGTGGGCTCCCTGGGCCGCCTGCAGTCCCCACACACACACCGTGGGGTCACTGCGGTCTGTCCAGCCCGGACACACGTAGCTCATGGTGTGAGCAGCGTGCACACGGCCAGCAGGGCCGCTGGCGCAGGTGGGGGCTGCCGGTGCATTGAGCTCCACACCTGCACAGCCAGAGACCATCCGGGCATTTGCCCCAAATTCCTAACAACAGATATTCCTCAACGGTGTTCAAGTGACAAACACCAGCGTCACAACAACAAAATATAAATGGCAACAATTGCTAAGCAGAACCCTGTAACAACCAGCTAGCGGCAGGCCCATCCGTCCTGCCATCTCTCCCGGTCTCTCCCAGGCGGCTGCTCCGGCTTCTCAGTAAGGCTCACAATGAACCCAATGAACTCAGCCACACTTGGGCCGGGGAGATAGCTCAGTGGCACAAGCACCTGCCTGGAAAGTGCAAGGTGCTGAGTTCGATTCCCGATACCCACCCCCC